AACATACATACCAGTCATACATACATACATACATACATACATACATACATACATACATACATACATACATACATACATACATACATACATACATACATACATACATACATACATACATACATACATACATACATACATACATACATACATACATACATACATACATACATACATACATACATACATACATACATACATACATACACACATACATACATACATAAGTGACTCCTAGGGTATGAAAGGACATGAGGCGGGAGAACTGGCGAGAGACCAAGTTTCTTTCAGGCAGACTGTGTTTAGAGTGAGGTTCTGCAAAGGACCTGCTAAATGATGATGATGATTGATATATGTAATATTTTGAAGTGAGCATCTTAGGAAAGTAAGTTTGTGATGTTGTACTAAGGCATGAAAGCTTTATGGCAGCTAAATATTAGTCGTGAGAACACATCAATTAGATAAATTGCCCACGTCAGGTCTTCTGAAATCATCTGTAGAAATAATGGCCTCCTCAATATGATAATGAGTTTGAATAAATGATACAGACACTATGATATGGGCAGACAGAATAGATTTTAAAAAGTAAGTAAAGTAAAAGTCCCTTTTTCACGACTTTAGGTAAATATATTGGGAATATAAGGCTAGACCTTTATTTTTATAGACCAATTTGCACTTGGTGGGTGATGTGGTTAGCATCATCCCGGTCGCCTTTACTTTCCATGACTACAACTGGTACCCACTCAAGACTGGGTCGACCTGGTAGTCAAGGTCATAAAAAATTAACAGTCTGGCTCCGTCAGGACACGAACTAACGACATTCCGATCCGCAGGCGGGCGTCTAGGCGTCAGCTCCACAGCGACTCCTAGAATGGATTTAATGCGGAATTGAAAAACGTTTTTCAACTCGTAAGAATACAATCTGTCATGGATTGTTTGAGAGGACACTAGTTATTTATGTCATCATTGCGTCGCGTAGCTTTAGGATGGAAAGTAAATAATCAGATATGTATCACCTTTTCAAGACAACTAACAAAAAACAAACAATTCGGCATTTAACCTTCATCGGCAGAACAACGACAAACAAAAGGCGACACATAAATCAATGACTCTAAAGAGATGAGCTGCGTTGAGTCAAAAACTGACATCACAGCACTCAGTGGATTCTCACATACCCAGTCCTCTTCATCTTCAGCAGCCAGCGCAAAGTTCCAAAGCTAATGGTACCGGTCTTAGTCCGGTTATATGTCTTTCTTGCCTTGAGTGTAGTGGACCAGCCAGACCCTCTGGTCACTTGTGTCCAGTTTCTCTTGTGTTTCTTTAATTTTTCCCAAAAGACTTTGACCACATCCACCTTGGCATGTAGCAATTCACCAGCCAGTGTTTTAGATCCAGCAAATCTGTCTGCCTATTTTCAGTTTTGCAACAGTCTCATCATTTCGATATTCGGCTGAATTAGTGAAGCAGTGTCTGTCTCTCAGAACAAATCAAGCAGGAAACCAACTATGCTAGATATGCTAGACGTGCAAATCAATCTTTAGCACTCCTGTGTTAACTGATTTGGCATAGTTGTTTTGTTCTAGGCATGAATAAATTAGTGACAAGAAACGCGTGGATTTACTGAGAAAAAATTAATTAGTTGTAGAAACCAGTCATAATGGATAATGTTACAGGTATGGGGAATATATATTATGGACCGAAGATAGCAAATGACACACTGTCAGGTGTAAGAGCATTTAAACGGAGACATGACTGTGAAGTGTTTTTCAAATATGTGTGAACAAATAAAAAGAATAGTATGAAGTATTCAAAACATGTGTGCTACTGAAAAGAATAGCATCTAAGCCTCGCGATTTTACTGTGCGAGACGGATCACCGATGGTCATCATAGATGTGTTATTTTGTGGCTTTTTAAAAATCAGATGAAATTACATTTATTTGTAGGAATGTGCTTGCGAGGATATGAACATTTTCTGCCAAGAGTTAAACCTGACGTCACTTCCGGTACTTGTAGCTAGAAATATTTCCAGACTTGAAAATCTCATACTGGACGTAAGTTATCATCATCATCCTCACTATCATCATGTACCCTGCCGATAATGCATCTCAGACTATATTTCCTATTCGACGCATAACTATACAAAAGGATGATGTTGTGTTGGTGGCACAGTTAAAAGTAACGTAAAATAATTAAATATTGTTCTTCCAGGTATACTTTGCAGAGAGTTGCTCTTTGTGGATGATGCTGTAATTACCATCGACTCAGAAAAGGAACCGCAATATTTACTGTCAGCATTTGCTCATGCATGTTGTGAATTTCACAGTTTTATAAGTAGCAAGGATGACTGCAGGACTAAAGAGGCTTGATAGAAAACCCTAGATAAGTAATGTCACGTGGCATTGTATTCGGGAATGAAAGACATTGAAGTTTGCTATATGCAATGCTACAACTAAGAAACATAAAATCAGGACTAAAGAAGAATACGACAAGAAAGATAAGCAAATTAAAGGTTCAAGGTTAAAGCAAAAAATCTTGTCTATCGGAGCTGTGTTCTCAGCACTCTACTTTATGACACTGAAACTTGATCGACTTATTAGTACTGGAAGAAAAGACTATATAGCTTTCAGATGCGATGGCTAAGAAAAATAACTGACGTTAAGATCTATACAAGATCACAAACACTGGGCTATTTAAATCAACAGGTTATAATGCGTCTCAGAAGTCATTCCCGCACACTTTAACAAATATCTGGAGATCTTCTGTACAAGTCAACACGAATTTAGCTTGCAGCTTTAGATTTATCATTTCTTATGAATTCATCATTTACAATTGCACATATGTTACTGTTTTCTTAAAGCGATGAATTTCTCTGATCTTGGTTTGACAAGTACTTTGCGTACCCATAAAAAATAGAATATACAGTAACTGACGCACGCGTGGAGGTTGTTTTTAAATAAGTTCACACGTGCAGCGATGCGTGGATATTATTTTGCTAGCATATCCCGCATACATTAAAACATTCTATTCATCTAACCCACAGGAGGCTAATTCTGCAGATGACGACCTGAGATTGAAACGCGTATGAAACGCGTGAAATGTGATGTTTTGGAAAGTTCCCATTACTCAGTTAACTGCAAAAATGTTGTCTGTTTGCCTTGAATCTGTGTCATGCGTATTCTGCAAATAAGACAAACCGAAACTTAGATGTTTGTTCACGAGAAACAATCTTGCTTACAAGGACATGATTATTAACAGGTTGCACGCCTAATTTCAACAACTGACACCGAGCGGCTACTGCGTTACATATTTCTTAAGTTGGGCACAACTTCTGGAACAGACTATAGACAGTTTTCGGAAGACCAAGATGGCTAGAACACAACTGAAGGATGGAGGACATTATGGTCTCCAAGGAGATCCCTATGGTGAATTACAGATGGGTGGATGGTTTTGAGGTCAGCCTCTGCTTTAATATAAAGATGTGTGCAACTATGACATGAATGATATATGTATGGAGGTATATTTCTGGTAACAAAATCCCATAGACAGTTCTTTGTGGAAAGGGGGGGGGGGGGAAATCAGGTAGGGAGTGGGAATAAAGGAAACAATGACTGTAGATTGACTGAGAGCTGAGCATCTGAGAATAAGCACGATAAATGGTTGCAATGGCAATTAAGGCCATTTTTTATTAGGGCTGTACCGAATAGTGATTTCCACTATTCGGCCGAATACGAATAGTGGGACCAACTATTCGGCCGAATACGAATAGTGTATCATCATCATCAGGTGACTTGCCGACTGGCGTGTGCGATCATGCCTCTCCACAATCTGCGATCTCCTGCAGCATGTATCACTTCGTGTGCTGACACACCTCTATGCCATGAAACAAGACTGTCAAGAATCTTCTATCGTTGTCTTCCTCTATCCCTCCTTCCACAGATCTTTCCAGTGGTCACCAAATGTTACATTTTCCCTCTTCTAATAACATGGCTGAAAATGACGACTGTCTCCTTCTGATGTCTGTGATTAGTTATCTTCGGGCTCCCGTCTCTTTCAAAACCATCGTTCGCTCGGCCGTTCGTTCGATGTAATTTAAACGCACCTTCATATTCTCGTTAGCAATATCTTCAAATTTGATTTGGGCGAAGACATCCTGAAAAAACAAAAAATGCATGATCTCTCTCTTTCTCCCTCTCTCTCTCTCTCCCTCACACAGACACAGACTCTCTCTCACACACACACACACACACACACACACACACACACACACACACTGCGGTTGGCATGTTATGCAGTTTGTACCACGCAACCGGGTCGCAGTTTCCCCCGCTTCAACAGACTAAGGCAACAGAAACTATTGTGAGAGCGTTATTTCGGTCCATCACAGTGTATGCAGAAACGGGAGTAAGGTAACCACTATTCGTATTCGGCCCGACTGCAACTATTCGGCCGAATACTGAATAGTTATTAGGTCCACTATTCGGCCACGAAGCGAATACGAAGCAAATATTTGGTACAGCCCCATTTTTTATCGTGGAAGACTTTTCCTGCTAGACTCACTCACTTATCATGTGGGATGTGATTCTCATGCCTGCCAATAGCAGATCCTAACACTATCGTCTGGAAAGGCAATTACAACAACTTTCCTTTGGGTAAGTCATTGAGTAACCTGTTGTAATGTTTTGAATATTTACATTTGTTTTCCTCACAGAATAATGAAATCACTTCAATACCAGCTGGCAGTTTACCCGCCAATTTACGGGAAATCTCAATGACCTACGTTCCAATCACAACCATCGATGACGACGCTTTTGCCGGGTCCACCTCCACACTGGAAACCTTGACCTTTCAGGGTTCTCGCTTCAGCCGTATCCCTGATGCCTTCCGCCACTTGACAGTTCTCAAACACTTAAACATTGAAGATACCATCATTCAAGACTGGAACCCCGAAGCCATGAGAAACATTGGACCAACAATTGACACTTTCTACCTGAATAATGTAGGCATGACTGTTTGGCCTACGTGGATTCAGTATTTTACTGCCATGATAGCGTTGAATATAGACGGTTCTAAAATTTCTTTAATCCCGGACAACGCATTAGACCCGCAGATCAACACATTAGAAAGTCTTTCCATCAACAACGGAAGCTTGTCTTCAGTTCCAAAGGCGTTGTCCAAACTCAAAGCCCTAACATCACTGGACCTAAGCAACAATCACATAGTGGATGTGTCATTTCTGCCACAGCTCTGTAATCTCTCTTCTCTATCTATATATAATAACAGAATCGCCAATGCAAGTGTGTTAAGTAATGCATTAAGGGCTTTTGGTGACTCCATGTATGACTTAGAGACAGGGAATAATCTTCTAACTGCTATACCAGATTTCTCTTCTCTCACAAAAGTAAGTGTGATAGATCTAAGTCGCAACAGAATTTCAAACCCACATTCTGGGCTAATTCCCATATCTGTTTATGATATTGACTTCAGTTATAATTTTCTTCCTACTATTCCATCCGTCTGGCCCATAATGCCAACAGTAACGGAAATGAAATTGTCAAACAACATTATAACTACGATCCAAGCCATTTATTTTAATAACTGGACTTATCAAGTAGAGCTTAGCAACAACCTAATCACAGAGCTGAGTGATAACAGTTTTCCTCCATATTCTACAGTTAGAGCTTTGTATTTGAAAAATAATCCAGTAAAAAGAATTTCTAACAACGCATTCAGAAATTTGCCTCAGCTCATAGACCTCGATCTTGGAGGGTCAAAACTGACGCGCCTTCCACTACAGCTGGCTTCTATAACCACTTTGACCAGCTTGGACATGAGCGACTCTATCTACCTGGTGTGTACCTGTGTAGAGAAGTCTTTACAGCCATGGATTCAGAAACTGATGCAAGTATACGGGGATTGTGGTAAGGGCTCCATACAGTATTTCTTTACGTCGCTAAGTCCGGGTTGTCCTGATTAGATCTAGAGACTTCTTAGAATAAATCGAATTAATTGACCTTTATTCGGGGCAAAAAGGGTAATCTGCATATAGTCATTCTTGTCTCAATATGCATTTGGTAGAGAGGAGAAGGCATGAATGATTTCTATTCCGATTCTGATTCCTTTTGAGAAAAAAAAAAATTAAACGGTCGACTACTTTCAGACTGCTGCTAGCTAGCCGAGGCTGCTAACAGTCTCCGCCTATATTTGTGGTCTGGGTTATTTGGGTCACTTTCGTGACTAAATTTCTATTATTTGAGGCTTTCGAGTCAGACCGCTAGTCTTCCACCCTGTTGTTATCTGTGTATTTCTTTCCTTTTCTTACTTGGTGTTTCCTCTTGGTTGCATCTCCCTTTGATTTGGTCCGGTGTATTTCGTAGAATTATTTCTACACGCGTGGGTACTAGTATTAGGGTGGCAAGTGGCACTTTTGCTTTTATAACATTCTATTGGCTACTCTGTATATGGCACATGCCCATTAGCAGGCTTTCTTGATGCTTGGAACAGGCAGAGAGAGTGGTAGACGACAGAGAGAATGGTAGACGACAGAGAGAGAGAGTGGTAGACGACAAAGAGAATGGTAGACGACAGAAAGATTGGTAGACGACAGAGAGAATGGTAGACGACAGAGAGAATGATAGACGACAGAGAGAATGGTAGACGACAGAGAGAATGGTAGACGACAGAGAGAATGGTAGACGACAGAGAGAATGGTAGACGACAGATAGAATGATAGACGACAGAGAGAATGGTAGACGACAGAAAGATTGGTAGACGACAGAAAGAATGGTAGACGACAGAGAGAATGGTAGACGACAGAGAGAATGGTAGAAGACAGAAAGAATGGTAGACGACAGAAAGATTGGTAGACGACAGAAAGAATGGTAGACGACAGAGAGAATGGTAGACGACAGAGAGAATGGTAGACGACAGAAAGAATGGTAGACGACAGAAAGATTGGTAGACGACAGAAAGAATGGTAGACAACAGAGAGAATGGTAGACGACAGAGAGAATGGTAGACGACAGAAAGAATGGTAGACGACAGAAAGATTGGTAGACGACAGAAAGAATGGTAGACGACAGAAAGAATGGTAGACGACAGAGAGAATGGTAGACGACAGAGAGAATGATAGACGACAGAGAGAATGATAGACGACAGAGAGAATGATAGACGACAGAAAGAATGGTAGACGACAGAAAGAATGGTAGACGACAGAGAGAATGGTAGACGACAGAGAGAATGGTAGACGACAGAGAGAATGGTAGACGACAGAGAGAAAACGACTGAGAACAAAAAGAGTTGCATGGCATTAGACCACAATGTAGACCACGATGACGGATGAGAGGTAGTATACAGGTAGACCTACAAACTAAAGATATGGAACGGCAGTTAAATGCATTGAAATGATACAAGTGAACATAAAATGGGATGCGCTCAAGAGGAGTGGAAAAAAATGTTAGGGCAACCACTAGTATCAACGGTTACAAGACCGAAAGCATGGCGTTTAACTGGACATATTCTGAGAAGAGACAAACAGAGAATCACCCAACAGACACTAGAAACAGGTGGATTAAGGACTTCCAAAAGAAACGATTAAGTCGAAGATTAAGGAAAGAAGCCGAGGGTGTTTTTTGTACAATGATAGGAAATTGATTGCACTAGACAGAGCGAACCCTACATGGCCGATATTAGCACAGCAGGACAGTAAATAAATTAATGAAGATCTACAAAACATGGAGCCACCAACTGGAAGGAGATGATCAATCACAGAGCTACATGTAGGCGGGTGATATCTGTATCAATGAGCTTCAATTGATCAGCATGCTGAAGACGACGTCTTTAACTTGCTATGGGGAAAGTGCAGAAAGTGTGCAGAAATACCAGAGAATGGGGATGTTAATTTTGAGTCATTCATTCAACTTTAGAAATAAATTAAAACTGTTTTATTATAATTCGTCAATTGAATTATACATTTTATATTACAACAAAACTGGGTTGTTATGATTGGCCTGGTCAATGTATGTCTTCGGTATGTAGCTAACAACCGCGCCCCAAATATCCTGACATAGAACGTCTGGGCACCTAATTATGAGAGGAGAATGCCTTTACACGACAACTGTTAGGTATGGACACCTAATTCTTGACATCCCAAGGGCTGTATTAATTATCAGAATACCTTTACACGACAACTGTTATCAGTCATAATCTTTGATAAGAAAACAATCTACTTTCTTTGGTCACTCCACGAAAAATAGAAAACGTAACTACTTTCTTGACTGTCGGAAAGTTGGCGGAGAGAAGAGATAGAGGGAGACCAAGAAAGAAAATGCTATACAGTTTGACATCATGGCATGGGAGATTTCCTGTTTGTCAAAACTGACTGAAAGTTTACGAGAGAGGCGTTTGTGGACAAACATTACTACCAGCGCCACACTGCATGGACTATGAGAAGAAGAAGATGGTGCCTGCTTGTCCCTTACAACAGTGTTCGTCAACATTTTTAAACCCACAGCCCATCAAAACAGGAGAAATTGTTTCGAGGCAAACCTTGCAGCTAATCAAACACGAAACAAAAACAAATGTAGGTCGAGGTTAACTTATTCAATCCGGAGTTACAAAATGTTAACTTTGAGCTAATGAGACATCTGCTGCTTACAAATCTGATGTCTCTGGAGCATTGTTTCTGACAGACGAAGCGTTTATACTAACATCTATTTTATTTATCTATTTGGTTTTAATTATTAAAACGCCTGAGAAAGTCTTTTCATATAAACATGTTAATCCTACAAACTGGAAGAGAAAAACCACATGCCCTATATCTTTACACGTTAAAGCACACAATTTTGGGACCCATCTGGAGTTTTCCGCGACGCAACAGTGGTCTGCAAAGCAAAGGTTGAAACACTGCTGTACAAGACGACGCACACCACCTGCAGTGATGGTTGCGAGGTTTAGTGTCCATTACATTAGTTTACCATTGTTGTCTCAGCCAACGACACTAATATATAGAAGAATAGGTAAAGTCAATGGCCCTTTTCCTAGCCTTCAGACGTACTGGGCATATAGGGCTAGACCTCAATTTTATAGATCCATCAGCACTTGGTGGGTGATGTGGGCAGCATCCAGTTGGTCACCTGTACTTCCTAGGACTGCACCTGGTACCCACTCAAGGTTGGGGCCACTTGGGAGACAAGGTCATTTTTGAAACAAATCCGGCTCTGTCAGGATCTGAAACCACGACCTTCCGATCCGCAGGCGAGCGTGTAGCCGCTACACCACGGTGACTCCATATATAGTAAAGGACTCTTTTTGTATGGGACACATGATGCAACACCTGATGCTAGTCATTTGGCACTCTTGGGCGATGTGGTAAACATCTGTTACCCAGTTTATGCTGGGTTGACTCGGGGGCCACGATGTCAATATTTTTATTTTTCAGAACCATCTTAGTCGGTGTCGATCGCAAAACTTTCGGGTCCATACACGCGCCTCTAGCCGCTACACTACGGCGACTATCAAACGACATTTTTACCGTTGTTAAAATTAACATACCGCTGTTTGCAGCCAAATCTCCAGTAGCTGCTCATTTAAAATCCCGATATTTGAGGACTGTGAAACTGAGTCCACAACAACTTAAACACAGACGAAGCAAGGGAAAATATTTAACACACACACACAAATTGCAGATTAAGAAACTTCACGAATGAGACCATAGCAACAGTAACAAACAGGGAGATAATACATGTGCCAGTCGTGTGCTCTATGCAGTTTGAGGTAATTAAATATTAAAGAGATAAGTAATGTAAGTATTGCAATCATCTACGTTTGCTAGGGATCGATTCATGCAGTGTGTGGTTTAGAAAAAGACGTTTGTATTAACTTTCAAACAGTAGTAGGAGAGTCACACTGTGCAAGAGAATGGGGTTCATCACGAAATAACCCCATAGTTGGCAGTGGATACAAGGGGGACAGTCTCCATTGTAGAGACAAAACAGTTTTTCTTTTATTGAAAAAAAGAACACTTTATGTTGTTCCTTATAAGTAAATAGAATGTCAGCGGACTGTGTTCACTTGTTTGAAAGACATAACTAAATAGGTAGGGAAAGTTTTGAGGTCATTGAAATAGATTTCAAACAATTTCATGTTGTGTTGTTGAGTTTTAGAACCTGTATGGCGTCTCTTTATTGTCCTGTTTTGTTGCTTGTTTGTTTTGCATTCGCAGGCTGTAAACTCCGGCAGAAAGGGCTGATTTTTCATCCATTTCTGGGGTTTGGCTTTGTTCCAGCACTGCAGTTTTGCGTGCACATGCGTTTTACAGATCTGATTTATTTTTATGCAGACTGTTGGCTAACTGTCTTTGAACAGATGCAATCCAAAAATTTTTTAAAGACGTGGAGCAGAGTGTGTATGTTTGTGTGTGTGTATGTTTGTGTATGTGTGTAGGTTTGTGTATGTTTGCGTGTGTGTATGTTTGTGTGTATATATATGTATCTTTGTGTGTGTGTGTGTGTGTGTGTGTGTAGGCTGTGTTAACGACAATGCATTGTCATTTTTAAAAAATTGCGACAAAAAATTAGTTTTATTGTAATTTTTTGTTTGTTTCACATACATGATATATAAAGCTTCCTTACCTCTTAAATATCTGAGAGTGTGTAGAAATATATAGATATATAAAATTCGTGTACACATACATACATCCTGCGTTCATATACTAGCGTGTCAGCATACTATCTAATACTTGCTAAGGAAGATCGCTGATTGTGGCGAGGCATGATCGCTCGCGCTAGTTGGCAACGGAAATTATTATGGCGAAATGTATTTACTACACACTTAAAGAAAGTTTCTCCTCTCCCCAGATGTTTGTTTAAGGGTTCTGAGCCCCAGCCACTATCCTCCCCCCCCCCCCTTCCCTTTCCTCCCTACCTCCCACCCACCCATCCAAAGTCAGTGTAACCTCAGCTGGGGCGCCTAAATTGC